ACTTCAACGACCCCATCATGCTTGGGTAACGCTGCGGTGGCAAGATGTTAACGACCTCGCCGGGTATGGAGGACATTGTGGGTTCGATCCTGACCCTGATGCCTGTATATTTGGAGTTTGCGTGTCTCTCTCCCCGTGGTCGCATGGATTTTTTTCCGGGTCCTTCGGTTTTTCCCTCCACATTTATAAATATGCGTTTAGAGTATTTGGCTGCTATCAATGTCCACGTGACAAGCCACTTTGTTGAGCCTTCATTTGTGGTTGCTTCTGAAAAAGAGCTATTTGGCGCAGTGGGCCTTACTTGATAAATAAGAAGTTTAATTTCACAAGTGTCCTTTTACAGGAAGAAGGACCGTCTTCTTGGTTCTTTCAGGTAAAGTCACGTAGAAGGGAAGTAATACAATAATAAAAATAAAACATAATAAAATAATTCTCACGACGTTTCCGCCACAACGCAAGCAGCCGTCCTCATGTGAAACCAGGTCTGTCGAGGCGACGGCGTCTGAATGAAACAGCACACATGCTTGGAGCATATATATATAAGCTGGGTTGGAAGGGGGGGGGGGAAAGGGGGCGCCTTGACAAAATAATTTGCATATCAAGAGGAATTTAGCATATTTATGGCAAATGCAGGTATGTGATTAGTACTACTTGTGTCCGTGCATGATGCAGGATTAGCAGCATCACAGGGAAGAAGGACCGCTTGTGTTGCGCCCGAAACGTCGTGATTGAATTTATTAAAAAAATTTACCTACGTGACTTTACCGAAAAAAACAAAGAGTATGAATCCTTGCAGTCACGAAAACTCCAAATCTAGAATTAAGTTTAGTTTCGCCTGAATTTCTGGCTAAATGTAGGTAATGCACGTAAGTGGAAATGCATTGCACTTTAATCTGAGAAAGATAAGTACCATTCGTAGCCGAGCATACCTCTAGAAATGAGCAGAAGTTGTGCCTACACTATGATAAACCTTAATGCTGGTTCACCTTTACAAGTGAGCTACTTATGCTTTGGTGCCAGGTTCTTTGATGCAGTAAATGCAATATCAGATACCACGCTGGCCCAGCAATCTCACTGTGTGCGAAAGCAGTTGTAATAGGTTCTTGCTGACAGCACTTACTACCGTTGTGTAAGTAGGCTTTCAAAGAGGATCTTTGTATTGATTATTCCTGCACGTGCGTTACTCTTGCTGTGGGAACTAGACTATCCATGATGTTTGTATACCTGACACAAGAAGCCTAAGCAATGCTGCTTTTCATTTAATGCTACATATGGTGGCTTTGGAAGGAAGTGGTGGCGCGGTGGTTTGCACACTGCGGCATGTTAGCAGACTACACCATGAACCCACGGGCCTGCGTTTGATTGCCGGCCATGGCGAGTGGTGACATAATCCGCGATAGATATCGGAGCCTGTTCTGGCTCCCCCTTTCATCAACCCCCAATCGCCGGTGTGGTGAAGTATGGTCTAGGACAACCCCCATGTCCAATGCAGCATGGGGAAGCCATCATCGAGTGGCGAGTGATGTCTGGACTGACGCTTCGTCAAGCAGTTGAGTGACAAAGGGCTGATTATTATGATTGTTAATCTTAGGTTTTTTCGGTAAAGTCACGTAGGTAAAAATTAAAATTAATAAAAGTAAAATAACTCTCACTTGATACAGCTATCGTGCTGTGACGGTTCCACCTGAAGACGGAAGCTTGTGTTGCCTCCGAAACGTCGTGATTTTTATTTTATTTTACTTTTATTAATTTAAAATTTTTACCTACGTGACTTTACCGAAAAAACTTAAGAAAATGAATCCTTGCAGTCACGAAAGCTTCAAATCTAGAATTATGATTGTTGTTTATCTCACTATTATGACATGATAAAGATGGCTTCTTGTTAAGTATGCCCAGCAGAGTGAAGGCCCAACTCTCAAACGTGAGTGGAAATGCCACCGTACTCTGGGAGTACAACAAGATCCTGGCCAACCAACCGACAACTGCCGATGCACCGGGACGTCAAATCTGCACCGCCGAGCCAGCTAAAGCCTCGCAACCTTTTTTTAAATCCTTTATATTAAGTTCACTTGCTTGCTTGCTTAGGACCTTGCAAATCTTTCGGTCGTTTTTTAACTCACTTCCCGAGATCCAATCGAGCTGACATTTTGCACACATACTCGTTGTGCGTGACAATGCATTTTCGTGAAAATTTTTTTCCAAAATTTTACACTGTTTAGGGAAAAACATTTAAATATTTAATTACCAATTGTTTAATGCTGCCAGACAATCATCTGACCCATAGGCGGCAGCCATCTCAAGCCAGAGGACGAGAGGACTCTAGCCGCCCCGATGCCACGCATATAAAGGATTTATAGTGAAAAACTTTGTTTTTACGGGTTAATTTTCCTGGACTCGCTCAAAATCTCGATGGCCTGCGATCTTCCGCAACAAGCGGCTAATCGAAAGATCTGACGCAGGGAGTGAGCTGGCTTTCAGGCCTGCGGTGAGGGCAATTGGCTCACGCTCAAACGTGTACGAACAACGCAGGGCAGGTGCGGCTAATTCCTTCACAGAAGGGTTTATCATGAAAGAGTGGCCCCATTGTGAGTGCGGTGAAGTGCAAATCTGCTCATCGCGTAACCGACCGCTGCACATCACGCTGACGCAGGCGATACGGACGCTGCGCGTTTAAGTGACTCCCGGTGCCATGGAATTGGATTTCCCCGACTCAACGTACAGCTGGACATTTTCGCCAGTTGCTTTTCAGATGAAATATGAAATAAGGAGTAGGAGATTTTAGATTTGAAGCTTTCATGACTGCAAGGATTCATATTCTTAGGTTTTTTTTCGGTAAAGCCACGTAGGTAAAAAAATTAAATTAATTAAAGTAAAATAAAAATAAAATCACGACGTTTCGGAGGCAACACAAGCTTCCGTCTTCAGGTGGAACATCACAGCACGATAGCTGTTTCAAGTAAGAGCAACCTTTATTAATTTAAATTTAATGTTTTACCTACGTGACTTTACCGAAAAAACCCAAGAATAAGGAGTAGGAGAATGATAGGTTCTTCTTGTGTGATATTGTTTCAATATCTCTCAGGGACCCGTGGAGATGTTGTGACCGCTGACGTAAAGGCATGTTTTGATTCGGCACACGGCCGTTCTCTCCAGCAGAAGTGGCTAAATTGAAAACACGCCGTGAAATTTAAGATTACCCCCCTACGTAGTGCACGTTTCAAACATTATCCAGCGCGTGGCCCAAGCTGAAGGTTTATTGCTCAGGAATTCCTTTTAAATCTGCTTTATGGATGTCACAAAAATGTATGCATTATATCTTGCAGCACTAAAGAGCAGTTGTTTATCTAATTTAACGTTCTCTTTTTTAATTTTCTAAAAGAAGACTTAATTAGTTATTGAGATCTGAGTTTGTCACGGGTGACATGTTGTTAATGCCTAAGCTGTAGTTTATCAGTGTAGGTACGCTTATTGGCTCATGAAGGAAAATAATATCTCATGGAAAAGGGTGACATACACCTGCAATTAGCAAGACTTGAGATCACCACATCACGGGGGGGGGGGGGTCTTTATGCCTTTGGTTATTATGGCCGTAGGTATCAGTTTTCCCATTCCCTGCTAATGATGGATGGACGAATGCTGTTTTGCAACAAAAAATAAAGGATATACGGTTTCTCGATGTCAATTCACCCTCCCCCCCACACACTTTTAATAATAGAATTGATGGATAACTACGTGTTTCTCACGGAGAAGGCCATAGCGTGTGTCCAATAAGCTCTCACTCATGATTTAATAAAGGAACTGATGTATTTATCTAAACCTGGGGGTTTTATAGTAGTAGGTTTTTACCCTTTTAAACTGGTACAAAACTGACACCTTTATTCAAGGCATCATGTTTGCAATGACCACAACACAAGTAGTCAGAAAAGCAAACAAAAAGAAGCAACTCTGATAATGATAATAATATGCACTGTCCTTGAAGTTGATTGGTCCACACCCGAGACGGCTTTCTTTAGAGCCTAGTCCCCATTGGTGTTGGACCAGATGGACCAGATGACACCAGAAGGCGTACAACTCAAACACAGTGCAATATCAGAGTATTCTGATATCAGAGTATTCTGATATTGCACTGTGTTTGAGTTGTACGCCTTCTGGTGTCATCTGGTCCAACACCAATGGGGACTAGGCTCTAAAGAAAGCCGTCTCGGGTGTGGACCAATCAACTTCAAGGACAGTGCATATTATTATCATTATCAGAGTTGCTTCTTTTGCTTTTTTGACTACTTGTGTTGTGGTCATTGCAAACATGATGCCTTGAATAAAGGTGTCAGTTTTGTACCAGTTTAAAAGGGTAAAAACCTACTACTATATTTTGGCACTGGTAAAAGAGATCTCATAGTGTAAATGCTTACCCTGGGGGTTTTCTTTAAAAAAGAAAAACCTACCAACATATCAGCTGACTCTAACCTCGCTACAATTAGCTCTTTAATTCTCAAATATTTATCTTAAAAAGAGGAATAGTATAGCCGTTTCCCGCTCAGTTGTCAATTCACATCAATCACCTCGGGTAAATACAAAGAAAGCATGCTGGGTACCAGAAGTCTTTTCAAGGTGTGCGCTAACCATTGCACCACCACTCCTCTCCTTAGATCAATATTATTGTGCTATATCTGGATTTGTTTATGACCAGATGACTCAGCAGGGCAGCGAGTGGCTCGCAAATCAAAGCAATCCTGGTTGCAGGCTGACGCAGCCCATCATTCGTCTGGGGTCGATAAAACAAGTACAACTTTGTGGGGAAGTCATCATTTGCTGCCCTCTGGGTGAAATCGCCCCGACGATAAGAACGTGGGAATTTCCATCGCTCGCTTAGTGCCGTCAACAGGAGATGGGCACAGGAAGAGAGAGGCTTTTTCACTCCTTCAAAATTCTGAGTCGACGACTCCACGTGCAATCGCCCGCTCACCTGTTCGTTGCGTCCCCCTGTTCGCCGTTCCCTGCAGGCAACCTGGCGCTGCTGCGCGTGCTGCCCCAGGTGTACGAGGTGCGCCCCTCCCCTCTGGACGTGCGGATCCCGGCGCTGCTGGCGCTGCTGGGACGCCTCACCCCCTCGGACACGCAGCACCTGCACCGTCTGCTCTTGCTTGTCGTTCGACGGAGGCCGGAGGTAAAGGGACCCTCCTCCCCCCCTCCGCGTGAAAAAAACGGAACCCTTTTCGTTGCCGCAAGGACGCACAGGCGGACGCGCTGGCCATGGCTGTCCCGGCGACACGGATGTGTAAAACTCATTCTGCATTTCGATTTAAAGCTTTCGTGACTGCAGGGATTCGTCTTCTTGGTTCTTTCGGTAAAGTCACGTAGAATGGAAAAAAAAATCATAATTAAATAATAAAAATAAACATAATTAAATAACTTATTTGATTATGTTTTATTTTTATTATTTTAAATAAAACATAATAAAATCATTCTCACGACGTTTCGGCCACAACGCAAGCAGCCGTCCTCAGGTGGAGAACAGGTCTGTCTAGAGGACGGCTGCTTGCGTGGCCGAAACGTCGTGAGAATTATTTTATAATGTTTTATCATTTTATTATTTATTTTTTTCCATTCTACGTGACTTTACCGAAAGAACCAAGAAGATCATTCTGCGTTGTTGTGCAGCAGCAGCAGCAGCAGCATCATGGTCAGATAGGCCAGTCGGTGTCCACGGCACTTTTCGTCATTTGGTTCCACTTCCTCTGCCTCGTACCAATGTGCTCAAGTAGCGCCCCAACCTTCTGGCACCGATCTCACGGGTCGTCGTCGTCGTCAAGTCATTCTCTGTTCGCTTTTTAAATCCTTTATATTACGTTCACTTGCTTGCTTGCTTGCGCGCTTACGACCGTGCAAATCTTTCGGTCGTATTTTAACCCACTTCCCGTGATCCAATCGAGCTGACATTTTGCACACAGACTCGTTGTGCGTGACGATTTATTTTCGTGAATTTTTTTTCCAAAATTTTACACTTTTTAGGAATTTTTTTTAAATATTTAATTACCAATTGCTTAATGGTGGCAGGCTATCATCTGACCCATAGGTGGCAGCCATCTCAAGCCAGAGGACGAGAGGACTCTAGCCGTCACGCATATAAAGGATTTATAGTGAAAAACTTAGTTTTTACGGGTTTACTTTTTTTTCTCCTTCTGGTTCCTTCCATTTTTGCAAACAACACTTTACATTTTTACTGTTGTTGTCCATCCTACATGTGTGTCCAAATAGCATCACGGGCAGTCATAGATATGCATAGATACACACCTCCCTTCTGTGACTCCACATTTCAGATCAAATGTATTTTAAGTCATCGGCCTGTTGGCTGTTTAGACCAAAGTAGTCAAACAGCATTGGTGCAATAAGTAAGCAAACTCTGGACTGGTTTTGACCTCCTGGGTCTCATCTGCATCCTCGGCTTGTTAAATGGCGTCGACTTACCCGATGTAATTGGCAACAGTACTCTGTCTAAACGACGTGAGGTTGTGGGAGCAGTTCTAAAAGATAGTCCAGCAAGCTGTTTTTTTGGCAGGTTATGTGTGTGATGTTTTAGTGTTCTACCTTTGCAAGTGTGGGCTTTATTCAGGCACTCTGGTTTCCGCTAGATAAAGAGGAAACCAGTGTGGGATTGCTCCAGTCACGTAGATACAGTGAGGGAAAAAAGTATTTGATCCCCTGCTGATTTTGTACGTTTGCCCACTGACAAATAAATGATCAGTCTATAATTTTAATGGTAGGTTTATTTGAACAGTGAGAGACAGATTAACAACAACAAAATCCAGAAAAACGCATGTCAAAAATGTTATAAATTGATTTGCATTTTAATGAGGGAAATAAGTATTTGACCCCCTCTCAATCAGAAAGATTTCTGGCTCCCAGGTGTCTTTTATACAGGTAATGAGCTGAGATTAGGAGCACACTCTTAAATGGAGTGCTCCTAATCTCAGCTTGTTACCTGTATAAAAGACACCTGTTCACAGAAGCAATCAATCAATCAGATTCCAAACTCTCCACCATGGCCAAGACCAAAGAGCTCTCCAAGGATGTCAGGGACAAGATTGTAGACTTTCACAAGGCTGGAATAGGCTACAAGACCATCGCCAAGCAGCTTGGTGAGAAGGTGACAACAGTTGGTGCGATTATTCGCAAATGGAAGAAACACAAAAGAACTGTCGATCTCCATGCAAGATCTCACCTCGTGGAGTTGCATTGATCATGAGAACGGTGAGGAATCAACCCAGAACTACACGGGAGGATCTTGTCAATGATCTCAAGGCAGCTGGGACCATAGTCACCAAGAAAACAGTTGGTAACACACTATGCCGTGAAGGACTGAAATCCTGCAGCGCCCGCAAGGTCCCTCTGCTCAAGAAAGCACATATACATGCCTGTCTGAAGATTGCCAATGAACATCTGAATGATTCAGAGGACAACTGGGTGAAAGTGTTGTGGTCAGATGAGACCAAAATGGAGCTCTTTGGCATTAACTCAACTCGCCGTGTTTGGAGGATGAGGAATGCTGCCTATGACCCCAAGAACACCATCCCCACCGTCAAACATGGAGGTGGAAACATTATGCTTTGGGGATGTTTTTCTGCTAAGGGGACAGGACAACTTCACTGCATCAAAGGGACGATGGACGGGGCCATGTACCGTCAAATTTTGGGCGAGAACCTCCTTCCCTCAGCCAGGGCATTGAAAATGGGTCGTGGATGGGTATTCGAGCATGACAATGACCCAAAACACACGGCCTAGGCAACAAAGGAGTGGCTCAAGAAGAAGCACATTAAATGTCCTGGAGTGGCCTAGCCAGTTTCCAGACCTTAATCCCATAGAAAACTGTGGAGGGAGCTGAAGGTTCAAGTTGCCAAACGTCAGCCTCGAAACATTAATGACTTGGAGAAGATCTGCAAAGAGGAGTGGGACAAAATCCCTCCTGAGATGTGTGCAAACCTGGTGGCCAACTACAAGAAACGTCTGACCTCTGTGATTGCCAACAAGGGTTTTGCCACTAAGTACTAAGTCATGTTTTGCAGAGGGGTCAAATACTTATTTCCCTCATTAAAATGCAAATCAATTTATAACATTTTTGACATGCGTTTTTCTGAATTTTGGTGTTGTTATTCTGTCTCTCACTGTTCAAATAAACTTACCATCGAAATTATAGACTGATCATTTCTTTGTCAGTGGGCAAACCTACAAAATCAGCAGGGGATCAAATACTTTTTTCCCTCACTGTAGGTTACTTTGAACCTATTTACGTGACTTTACCGAAAGACCCAAGGATATGAATTCCTGCAGTCACGAAAGCTTGAAGTCAAGATTTATCATCATCTAATATCCACAAAGACAAAGATTCCCCGTATAGCCTGTAACAGACTGTTGGGGCAAGTGCTGTTAGGGAGCACCTTTGAAGGCCTGTACGGCACACGAGAGGGTGTGTGGCCATCACCACGCCCGGCCGCCTTTGTCTCCCTTGGTGGCGATGTTTACTACACACAACACCAGGCACTCATTTGAGGCTGCATCGACCTAGGGGAGGCCCAGTACCGGTTCAGATAATCGTCACTGGTGTTGGCCATGAGCAGAAATCGAACCTGGGTCGTCGTAGTGAAGCGTGCTAACCGCAGCACCACCGCTCTCCACACACCCACACACACATACACTTTGTTCTGAAGGCGAGAGTACAATTGTTATGGTTGCTGTTATTTTAAATGTTCAACTTTGGCTGCTGCCAAATCGAGTCCACGTATCAATTTACGGTGAATTTTGTGTGCAATCCCTTTACGCCTGTGCTGAGGTCATCCAAATCACGATACAATGGGAACCCTTTTTCACTCCGATGAATAACGCCGTACTGAATGCTGACATGCCAAAGTTGCTGGCTCAGAATCATGGCACTGTCACCCAGCTACAATATATACGCACATATTTGTTGGGTTATATTTTGCCTGCATGTACGTATGTTGAACTTACGCAGCCAACCGTGCTGATCGAAGGTGAAAATTCTATTGTAAATACCTGAGGTGTGGACTCGAGTCATGTGACTTGGACTCGAGTCAGACTCGAGTCATGAATTTGATGACTTCAGACTCGACTTGGACTTGCATAACAATGACTTTGTCCCACCTCTGAGGTGTGGACTCGAGTCATGTGACTTGGACTCGAGTCAGACTCGAGTCATGAATTTGATGACTTCAGACTCGACTTGGACTTGCATAACAATGACTTTGTCCCACCTCTGAGGTGTGGACTCGAGTCATGTGACTTGGACTCGAGTCAGACTCGAGTCATGAATTTGATGACTTCAGACTCGACTTGGACTTGCATAACAATGACTTTGTCCCACCTCTGGTAAATACTATAGTAATAATAATTTACACTTCTAAAGCACCTTTCAAGTCAAGTGAAGGCACACATTTACCACTCAAAGTGCCATCGCATTAAAAGTCTAACTCAACGTAACATTAGAAAATTCTAAAGAATGAGAAAAATATATATACGTATATTCATATATATATTTACAAACTATCTACCCGGAGATCACAAGGTGCTGTACAAACACACGCACACATGCAGGCTCACTCCAATTAGAAAAAACAACCCCAAAAACAAAACATTCAAGAAATATAAAAAGCCCTTCAAAACAAGTTTGCGTCTCGAGGTGCAATTTGTGTCTATGCATGTTGAACTTCTGTCGCACCGTACGTAGCCAACCGTGAGTGGGTCAGTGAGTGGGTCAGTGTATGTATGTTGGATTTCTTTTGTACCGTACGTAGCCAACCGTGAGTGGGTGAGTGTATGTATGTTGAACTTTTTTCGTACCGTACGCAGCCAACCGTGCTAATCAGAGAATAATACGAGGTGGGGGTGGGGGGCAGTTAGCAGAGCGAAGGCCCAGTAGAAGTGAATTCCACAGCCTAGGGGGGTGGGGGGGGGCACTAGAAGAGGCCCGGTCACCCATCGTCGCCGTACAGAGACTTGACCTCGGCAACACACAACGGGCCGGGCTGTGTTGACGTTTTCACCATGTATGGTGGCGCAATGGAAAAGCGGCCGAACACACTCATTTTGCAGGTTTCCCACTGCGCGCGGCTCCGCAGTGTGTATACAGATGTCACGGAAAGTTTCGGTTTGGTC